TGCTCTAAAAACATTCTAAATGACAACTTTTTTACCAAAATATTTACTTTACACATAGAAAACATAATTCAAACGGTATTTGTTTATATACGTGTAAATCTTTTACAATGTTATAGTAAAAAATATTTTTACTATACCTTTAAATTTCAGTTTTAGAGTCTATGTTGGTTCTCACTAGATCCAATTAAAATAACACTTTTATTATTTAGAATTAAAGAATTAACAGTGAGAGAGCAGGAACAACAATGTAAATTGTTGTAATTCAACACTTATCAAGGTTTGACTAATTTAACAATAGCGTTTAGTGTCAAAGGTTAACAAAACACACTGACACTGGGTTCATCTAACACTAGTGAGTAGTTTTAAAAGTTAACACTACACACAAGTAATGATAATTTACCCATTCATGGTGGTTGTTAACTCTTCGATTAATAGGAAAAAGTAACGTAATGGTCACAAAAATAATTTAAATCTGACAAATGCACAATTGAATAGACATTCTATCAAAATGACCAAATGTATGTCAGACATTGCTTTCATCCGTCAAAAGATTTTTAAAATAAATAAATTAAACAGGCCTGGATAAAAATTATGGTAACATAGAAATAATGTGTCAACAGGTGTGCCTATACATAGAGCTATAGCAGTCACTGTGCTGTTTGGTGACGTGGTGTGTACTACACGCAATATGAAAGAAGTTTTCTTAGTATATTAAAAAGAAAATTACAGACATACATTTAAAAAGTAAAGGCTATAAGACCATCTTCAAGCAGCTTGATGTTCCTGTGTTTACAGTTGCACGTGTTACTCAGAAATTGATGATCCACAAGACTGTAGCAGGAGGAAAATAAATGGGAAATCAAAAAGACAGATAATATAAATGGAAAAGAGAGAAGCTAGAAAAACTAAAGAAATAAAAGCTGACTTCAAGCTCAAGGAACAGCAGTGTGAGAGCACACCATCATCCACTGTTTGAGAAAAAGTGGATTTAAAGGAGATGCACAAAAAAGAAAACTATTGTTGTTGATAAAAAAAAATCACAGAACTCTGAAGAATAACAATGAGGCTGCACTTAAACTATCTTAGTTTAAAAATGCAGAAATAAAGGCTTTGGAGCTGTTTATAGGTACTTGTGAGGTAGTGAGAGATGATGCTCAGAGAGCTATTTGTATTGTTTGTGTAAATTTCTCTTTTTTTTATCAGGGGAGAGGAATAAGTAGTGTTGTACCAATGCCATTTTTTGGCCCCGGTACCGATACCCGATTCCTGGCTGTGCATTATCGGCTGGTGCCAATACCATACCGATACCATCTGTTTGAAATGTGTGTATATATGAGAACAACTACATACTACTTGGATGTAAAATAATTGCCATCATGGCTTTGTCAAGCTGCTGCCTACCTTTGTGGAGCAGGAAAAAGACTAATACAAAGTGAATCCAGTAGAACTTTTTATTGCGTACCTGGAATGGGTGACAATAGTTGAATAAAGTTTTGGCTCTCAAAATGTTATCGGTGCCCTATTTGTCTGTACTCTGCGATACTGATACCACCATTTTAGTGCTGGATCAGGGCCCTACCCTATACTGGTATCGGTATCAGTGCAACACTAGTGATAAGTTCCACTTTCCTGCACTCTCACTTGTTGTTTTTTGGAGAGTCAAATGAGATCAATACTCTTTCCATTTTCTGTCTTCTGAACTTCTATCATGAGTAAAGTAATCTGTTTTTTAAATGTGTCATTGATTGTCCTTTCCCCAGTCTGGCCCGTCTGCTATGCATGCACAGTGTGACTCCAAACCTGGCTGTTTTCCCTTGAGATAAAGAGATCTTATTTTGTATTTTCCCCCAAAGCGGGTGTGTTTTACTTTACAACCACATCTCTCTTCCTGTCAGACCCATGAAATTGCTGCTAAATTGCTGCATATTCAGCTCAGCCAAACGCTCCAGATGTCCCTCTTTTATTTCCTTCCAGTCAATCCTTTCCCCATTCTTCCTAATCCCTTTCCCTTCCCTCATTCATTTCTTACAGTATTCAGAAAATGCTGGACCCCCAGATATGTACTGAATAAGCTGGATACATTACTTAGCTAAGAACTGCTAAGTGCTTACTTGTCGCTCAGTTTTGCTGAATTTCAGATCCTAGACCCATCCCTATTTTACTTTCTGATTCAGCAAAGTTAAAAGTAAACAAGCTGGTGATGGAGTTTTTTAGACTTTGATAAGTCTACTTCATTTCAGATGTAAACAGTTTAATGAGGTCCACAGAGAGAAATAAAGGTGAATAAAAACTTAGACTCAGACAGCTCCCTTTGAGGTGAGTGCACCCAAACAAAATTATGATATACTGTAACAGGACATGTATTGCTGCTACACAACATTAGTTAGATTTCTGCTCTTGTTTTCTACATTATAATGGATAAAATGGATAATGAACTAAATGTAACATATATATCTTTTGATGGGCATGTAGAATTGCAGAAATACAAGTTTCTGTACTTCGTGGCTACATTTACGATATATTTTCTAATAATTTGTGGCAACTCAACAATCTTGGTTCTCATCTGGATCAAAAAAAGCCTCCATGAGCCTATGTACATTTTCATCGCTGCTTTACTCTGCAATGCACTTCTGTTTAGCACCAATGTTTATCCAAAACTTCTGATTGACCTTTTATCTGACTTACAGGTTACAACTTTCTCATCGTGTAGATTACAGGCTTTCATTTATTACTCTTTAAGTGGCTCAGAGTTTCTCCTTTTGGCAGTGATGGCCTATGACAGGTATGTCTCTATCTGTAAGCCTCTGCAATATCAGACAGTCATGAGAAAAACAACCGTGACTACTTTGTTGGTTTTAGCTTGGGTTTTACCATCCGGTCAGCTTATACCGTCCCTTATACTAGGTAACAGTTTTAAACTCTGCAGTCATACCTTGAAGGGAATTTTCTGCAATAATGCTGTTACCAAGCTTTACTGTATGGGCTCCGCTGGACCTTATATTATATATGGTGTGTTTATTTTAATTAATACTGTCTTTGTTCCTTTGGTGTTCATCCTTTTTACCTTTAGTAAAATACTTATAATATCCTATAGAAGGGGCTCAAATGTCAGGAAAAAAGCTGTGCAGACATGTGCTCCACACCTGCTGGTTTTGATCAGTTTTTCATGTTTGTGTTCTTATGATGTTATAATAGCCAGATTGGAAATTGATTTACCCAAAACAGCACGCTCAATAATGAGTTTACAGCTGGTTTTGTATCCTCCTCTTTTTAATCCAATAATCTATGGTCTAAAGATGACAGAAATTCATAAACACCTGGTAAGGTTTTTCAGTAGAGCTAGATTCTGCCTATTTATTACACTAACAGGTAAATGGAAATTAGGTTATGATACAAAAACTAGATAAATAATTCAGAATGGAGATACACTTGTACATTTTTTCTGCTTTCAGCATATAAGTTTGAGGATAAAATGTTTGCTTAATGTTTTATAGATCAAATCCAATCCATATCCAATGTTGTTTAATTTATTTTGCTGAATGGTGTATATTTTGTTGCTGTAGAATGTGGATATTGCTTCTAAATCAATTAAGTGTACCTTTTTATTATAGTCATAAGTTTCATTTGACAGATTAATGTCATCAGTAAAAAGCCTAGAGTGATTTAAGATCAAATGTATTGCCAGCATCTAAAAACTACAAAAATGTTAGTGTGATTAAATATGAGAGATTGATGACTTTTTTTTTTATCAACGGCTGGCATTTGCATTTAGATTTCATGTAACATAACCTCTTTGTTAAATTATCAGATATTTTCAAGAGTCCCTATTACAACTATTGTTTTTAATGGTAAAAACACCATGACTCTAAAATGCTTGCTATCCTTCTTTGAGAATGTTTTCATATGCCATAAGAAAACCAATCATGTCCTGGTTCTTATCCACTGAGCATGCCTTGCTCCTGTTTTTGCTCAGTGGAGGGAGATAGTTTAAAGTTCTGTAGATTTCATGATACCATGTCTTGTTCTGCCTTTCAACTACCTGTTTCCATCTGAACGTTTCTGCCTGAACTCGCTATTGGACTCATGGAACCTTGAAGCTGCCTGAACGCTCTGTGGATTCCTGGTTTGTTCTTGTTCTGATCAGACCCCCAGGCCATGTTGCGGACTCCTAGATCTCTGAGCATTCCTGTTCTGAATTATTTTCCTGACCCAGCTGGGATTTATGCTTGTTCACTGAGGCTGCTGCATCTGGGACACTCTGGGCGGCTCCCGCCGCATCTCGTTGGCAGTCCATCGGCTGCCTTACTTAAGAGAATGGAGTGATTATTTAAACCAGGTAAGTGACTCACATGGATAATCATTTTTCATCAGATTATCGTGTTTAGTTACCTGTTTTTTCTCTCTAACCAGAGTGCCAGTAATGGTCGGTGCCCCGCCTCTCCCACCAGCCACTGCAGATCCACAGCCCTGCGCTTCTGTTCCATTCTGTCTTATTTTAATAAACATTTTGAATCTTCCCACTGTCTGTCTCACCTTGAATTCTGGGTCCTACATTCTGAGCTCATTACAGTTTGACTTGGAGCGGAATGATTTTTGTTAATAACCTCTTATATTTTGAATGGAATTTGTGATGATTTTATTCCATCTATGTGCAGATTTATCTTTTTGACCAGGATTTGAACTCGATTCATGCTTTCATTTGTTGTTATAACACACAGACAGTAGGTTGTGTGTTCATAAACAATATATGACAGTCCAAATAATACCTGACTAAATAAGATATTTACCACCCCTACCGGGTTGGGCAGTAAACATCTTGAAGTAGGATTGTATTTGAGTCAATGAGTCAATGCAATCAACTGGTTTTCCTTAGATAGAAAACTTTGAATCAATTTGACTGTATGATCTGGTTGAACTTTAAAGTGCTTTGAGATGACTTGTGTTGTGAATTGGCGCTATATAAATAAACTGAACTGAATTGAATTGAAGTACCACAACATTTTATTTGTTTATTTATTTGAATAGGGACAATGCACATTAATGAACATCAGTATAAAAACAAATGTAAATATGCCGGATTATAGCTACAAACCTAGTTTTCATCCGTAGACCCTAGGCAGGCAAATACATAAGAAAGAACATAACATACAATACAAGCATCACAAGGAAATGTTAAGAGTTTAGTGGTTACATGACTGGTTTGTTTTCATCTGTAGTTTGAGTTGAGCTCTAAAGCTGATCAGTGTAAGGCTCTCCCGTATGTGCAGAGGAAGACTGTTCCAGATGTTAGTGGCTCTCACAGAGAGAGCAACATAATATGGTGCCCAAGCTGGCTGGGCATTGAATATAAGTACTCTTTGGCTAGACAGCAAAAAAACATTCACATCAGCAGATGGAGCAGTTTACAGAAATGTTCCAGGAGCTGCTCCACAGAACCACTCCCACAGAGTCTACTCGCTCTAAAGCTGGTGCGACTGCCGTTCCTGAACTAACACCTCCAGCAACTTCTCATTTCCATTTTGACAATTTCCCCACACCTGAGCCTTATGCAGGTGAAACTGGAAGGTGTTGGTGATTCCTATTATGATGTTGGCTAGTTTTCCGTCAACTCCCCAAGTCTTTTTTGTTTGATAAGGAAAACATCTTATTTTGATCAATATATAGAGAGGTTGAGCCGTGCAGTAAGCTGAAGCAAGAGGGTAGTCACTTGACATACCTGCGGCTGCACACAGTGTTTTTAAGAGAGAATCCTGTTCACAGGCACACATGTATATTTGTTTACAAAATTCAAAATCACAGTCTTTAATGCAATTACATAATTGCATAGCATGAAATCGCAGTTGCAATTACATTAATTGTGCAGCACTTGTAAAAACAGGTCCAGAAACATTGTAAGTATTTGTTACCATACTAAAAACAACCTAACAATTAAGTTATTTCTGCAGGTGGTGCAGTCTTAGATTGGTTCTCTAGTCTATAGGGGGTGTCTCAAAAATCACCCTAAGAGGGAAAATTGTTTCAGATAAAGTGCATCAAGTAACAAGTCTTACAAATCAACATTACCTAAAAAGAGATCATTAATCTTACCGTTCCTATATTATTGAGACCTTACGCTAGGAAACTTACTATAGGATTGATCCCACGGGATATATGAGTGTCATTGTTGGGATCTGGAGGTCTGTCCACCTTTCTCCAGCAGAGGGCATCCTAGGTCTCCTGGAGCTGAAGCTGACCACCACACCTGCGGCTCATGAGCTCATCAGGAGACCGGCATTTAAGGAGGGGCAGAGCAACACTCCGACGCCAGAGTGTTTTGCCAGTTATGGTTAGCAAGCCTGAGCCAACCTGCCTGTCTGAATCTCCGACCCCCCTGAAGCCTGAATCTAACCCTAATCTGCTTTTTGTCCTCTCTGCTTCTCAGGAAGAACCTGCCTGGAACCTTGAGACCTGGAAGAGTTTCTCAAGCGTGAAACCAAGCTGTCTGTTCTCAGGAGAACCCTGGAAATCCAAATAAGTCAGATACCTGCCTGCCTGCTCTCAGAAAGAGCTGAGAGAGAAGCTCTGAATCTGCTCTGTAAGATTAACAACTCCGCCCTGCCTCTGCCTAGTCCTCTGCCTGCCTTCAGCCTCTGGACCCTCCCGGTTCCCCCCTTCTACCGCTCTGCTCATTCTCTGATCAGGTATAGACCAGCAAACACACCATCTGCAAGTTCACTGGAAGACTGCTAACCAATCTGTCCCTCTCTGCAGTGAAACAAGTCGTGACCAGACACAGGCCCGATCAATCCCAGTATTCTATGTGCATTTATTGTGAATTGTGCAAATAAACATTGTGAACTTTTTCCCAGCGTCTGAGTGTTCTGCATGTGGGTTAGATCCCTGAAAACAAACATGACAGTCATTATTCTGCCGTGGACTTTTTTTTGGTTCTTTTTAGGTTTTCTTTTTGACTTTTCAGTTAATTTTTTATTTATGTCACTCTTTGTTTTCTATGTCTTTTATTTCCATTTTGTGTCATTCTAGGTGTTTTCCAATTGTATTTGAGTTCTTATGTATTTCTAGTTTACTCTCTGTTGCCCCCTTTTGCCAGGCTTCTTCCCCTAGCTCCCTTCTAGATCCTTCTGTCCACACCTGCTCCCAATCAGTTGATTAGTCCGTTCTTCGATCTGTTTGGAATATATGCTTCTCCTCTGCATTTGCTGTATTTTCTTCATTCCTTCATTCTCTCCCTATGTGTTCCCATTGTTCTGGTTCATGTGTTCCTTGATTAGTCATATCTTGATTTATACTTATATGTAATCATTTGTTATTAAATCTGCAAGAAACCACCTCAGCTTAGGCCCCGTCCACACGAAGCCAAACCCTGGCCTAAACGCACAAATTTTTCACCAAACCAGCCTCTCATCCATACGAAGCCGGCGTTTCGGGGGTCTGTAAACGATCTTTTTTTTATTAAGCCTTCAGAGTGGGAAGATTTTGAAACGCCGTTTTTGCGTTTCCATCTTTAAGCTCTAACCGCATTTTTTTTCTTACACGCATGCATCATAGCGTCGCCTCTAAACACGCATGCGCGACACAGTATCACAACAACAATGGTGCCGTACTGTGTTGAATGGTTGCTGCTCATGCTACTCACTAGGGGTGTAAATCCCATCCATCATGGCGATTCGATTCAGTATCGATTTCCTGACCCAACGATTAGATTATTTTCGATACTCAAGAATACACTACGATTCGATTCGATTAATCGATTAATCTGTTAATTTTTTTTATTATTATTATAATTTTTTTTACACCTTACAGGCTAAACAAAGTTTCAAGTTTGAAATAAATCAATGAAAGCTGTAATATCATTATGCATTTTCTTTAGAAACAACAGCAAATAACAGAAGTAGAAAAGTTGCATCAAAAAATACTGCAAAAATACTGCAGAAAATCAGTGCAATGAGTTCAATGCAATACCTCGGCTCCAGAGAAACTGTCCAACATATTTTTTTAGAATGTAATAAATATACTCAGGAAAGAGAGATGTTGCATAGAGAGTTAGACAGGAATAAAAATAAACTAGATATAAGGGAATTGTTTCAAAGGTCATCTGGGGATGTAGTTTTTGGTAGTATTTTTAATTTTCTAAGAAGAACGGGTATTTTAGGGAGAATATAATAGTTTGTCTGGTCCATACTCCATTCTGGAAGGTGGCGGTAATGCACCTATAAGTTGTTTGCCAACCACCATTAAAAAAAAGAAGAAGAAGAAGGCTCCAGAGTGTCGACGTCACCGCCCCCTTGAGAGACGCTCCGCTGCACCTCTCCCAGATTGTAGCTGACCGCAAACAGTGCACCAGACAGGAGGCCGGCTTGTTTTGTTTTTATGACCGAAATTGCGGAAAACAACTCGTGAAGTTTGACCTGCTAGAAGAGCGAGGTGCGCGAGACCGCTGGGACCCTTTTTCCAGCTGAATCTCCGCTCTTTTTGGCCCTCATGTCCCTCGTCGCCTAAACTCGCCCCTGCTTCCTCACCGCCGTATCTAGACCCACAGTGTGTAGCTCAGACCACGCTTCAATACTGAGCATAATTTAAAAATGTCTGTGTCAAGCTTACTGCAACACACTGCTGTAAGAGTTTAACCAGGAAGCGCGGTAGGAGGGCAAAATAGGTTCAGTGACACCGCAGCACGGGAGGGAGAATTACGCCCAGGAGCAAATGGATTAAAATAGACCGGAGGAAAAAAAAAAACATGAAGCGATTATCTTGCGGACACGTGTCGATGCATCGGATCGTCGGCTTTTGGATCGATGCATCGATACAAAACGATTATTATTTACACCCCTACTACTCACCCTGCTGTCGGGCTTACAACAGAATCTTCTTCTGGAATATCTCCAGGAAGAACAGAGCAATATCGACGACATAGTTCAGCACCTGAATTTGACTGAACCACGAAAATGGACCCGCAGGGCAAACAGCCTATTTTTGCTTTGACACGACAGCGCCACTTACAGGCCTGGCATACATTTTGCAGCGTTTTCTTGCATTCGTGTGGACGATCACATTTATTTTACGTCTCCGTCTTTACGACAAACATTCTGGAAAATATTAGCGTTTCGTGTTCGTTTTGACTTCGTGTGGACGGGACCGCAGTCTCTATATTTGGGTCCTCTTCAAACCCCCACTCAACCTGACAATGAGTGGACTAAGTGGAACAAGTATGTAGACATTCTAGCAAAACAATTATCCATCTATTGTCTATCCACACTGATCAATGCAGGTTCACAGTGGCTAACCTTCCCTAGCTTTGATTGAAAGCGGGGCAGGGTATAAAATAGACCAGTTTTTACTCTGACTCTTTCTAAATACTGCATGCTAAAAAACTTTTATCTTAATTTTTTTTATTCAAAAACTGTATGCAGATTAGCCATAATACGTTGTGTTGAATTCAATTATACATACATTTAATGATATAAAGAAACTATACAGTATTTAGCTAGAACTTTATAGACATGCAAATCTTGACAAATATGGAAACTTGTTTGTTTTAGTTATTAACAACTGTTAGATGCTTACTGGTCGCTCACCTCAATGCCCGGTTGTAAAACTATATATCTTATTTAACTTTTGACTTGTGGAAGTAAACAGTAAACAAGGTGATGATGTAAGACCCGGTTTGCAGGCTGTAGTAAGTCTTACTTCATGTCAAATGTAAACAATTTAATGAAGTCCACAGAGAGAGAAAAAAACTGCATAAAATCTTTGGGCACTAAGACAGCTCACTTTGCAACTCTTAACACTAGTTAGATATCTGCTGTTCTTTGTTGATAGTTCAATGGATAAAATGAATAATGAACTGAATGTAACTTATATTACTTTTGGTGGACATGTAGAATTACAGAAATACAGACTCTTGTACTTCATAGCTACATTTACTGTATACATTCTGATCATTTGCAGCAACTCAACCATCTTGTGTCTAATCTGGATTCAAAAAAGCCTCCATGAGCCTATGTACATTTTCATCGCAGCTTTACTCTGCAATGCACTTCTGTTTAGCACCAATGTTTATCCAAAACTTCTGATTGACCTTTTATCTGACTTACAGGTTACAACTTATTCATCATGTAGATTTCAGGCTTTTATTTATTACTCTTTAAGTGGTTCAGAGTTTCTCCTTTTGGCAGTCATGGCCTATGACAGGTATGTCTCTATCTGTAAACCTCTGCAATATCTAACTATTATGAGAAAAACTACTGTGACCACTTTGCTGGTATTAGCTTGGGTTTTACCATCCGGTCAGCTTATACCACCACTTATCCTGGGACATACTTCTAAACTCTGCAATCATACCTTGAATGGAATTTTCTGCAATAATGCTGTTACTAAGCTTTCCTGCATGGGTTCAACAGGGCCCTATATTATATATGGTGTTTTTACTTTAATTAATACAGTCTTTTTACCTTTTGTGTTCATAATTTTTACCTATAGTAAAATACTGATCATATCCTATAGAAAGAGCTCAGATATCAGGAAGAAATCTGTGAATACCTGTGCTCCACACCTGCTGGTTCTGATTAGTTTTTCATGTTTGTGTTCCTATGATGTTATAATAGCCAGGTTGGAAATTGATTTACCCAAAACTGCACATTCAATAATGAGTTTACAGGTAGTTTTGTATCAGCCTCTTTTTAATCCAATAATCTATGGCCTAAAGATGACTGAAATCCATAAACACCTGAAAAGGCTTTTCAGTCGAGGCAGAAGCTTTGTATGTTTTGCACTTTTACGCAAATGACATTTAAAATAGCAATTTTTTTTGTAAAAATAGATTTGAGATGCACTGAGACATAATGTGACTAACTGTATGTCCTGTCTTTTATCTCCTTGACATGAAAAACAACTTAGAACTTATCAGTTTAACCATCTTTCCTAGAGAGAGCCACCTATGGAGCTAATTTACCTTTGCATTCTCTAATATAGAGAATATTTATAGCTCTGTTTTTCTGTGTTAATTCTGTTTTGATTCTGTGTTAATTGCCTCTGTCCTCTCAAATTTCCATTGTCTAATGTCTAAATGCTTATCAAGGAGGAGTGAAATCTGCAAAGTATAAGACGTAACAAAATCAGTTGGGTTTCCTTACGTATAATACTTTTAACCAATCTGTCTGTAAGATTCATTGAATTGTCTTTTTAAAAAGCATTGAGATGACATGTTTTGAATTGGCACTATGGAAATAAACTAAACAGAAACTGAATTGAAACTGAGCTGTCACAATTTGGAAAATACCAAAATAGATTAAATATATTTTTCCTGCTTCCTAAATATCAACTTGGACAAGAAAATGTTAATGGGCTGTCTAATACTGTACATCCCTTTCCAGAACAGATACAACGATGCATGTAAACAATACAATGCAACTTATTATGTATATTTTGTTGCTGTAACACATGACTGCTGTAACTAACTCAGTAAGGTGTTACTTTTTACAATCTTCTGATGTTTAATGTTGATCGAATGATTTCATTAGTAAAGATTTGAAAGGTGTTAAAGATCAATTAACAAATTTAATGCTTCTTTCGCAGCCATTGATTAATTGACTTTATTGATCGCACAGCGGAGAAATTTACTTGTTACATTAAACTATTAACAACTGGCATTTAAAATATTGATTTCTTGTGACATACTAAACTTTATCGTTGCTTCGTTACTCACAATTAAGTTCTTTGTTACTTCTGAATGTAAATGAAAACCCTTTTGCAGCTATTAGTTTTTAATTGGAAACACTGCCAAAGCTGTAAATACTAGTTATTCTTTGTGAAAAGATATGCTTGCTAAAGCCAGCAGCAAACAGCATTTAGGAATAAGGTAATTCTACATCAAATGCTTTAAAAAGTGAAACGAGTCATGAAGAGTTTGAAAGATGAAATATTTTTAAGACTAATTGATTTTCTCAAACCTTTCTTTTATAAAGTGTTGTTCTTGACAGCCATCTTAAATGTGGTCTTAGTTTTGTTACGAAGACTTATTAGTTTTATTCATATTTTAGTCATTACTTTATTTGATAGTTTTGGTACAGTTTTAGTCAACTAAACCTCAAAAAGTTTTAGTCTAGTTTTAGTCAGTTTTATGTTCATAACATTGTTAACCTTTACAATTTTGATTAACAACCAGTTGTCCTTACCTGACTTAGTGCTGTTACCTAGATATTAGAATTGATGGGTATAGAATGCTGCCATGCAGGTCATCATTACTGTTGGGCAGAAACCTTTGATTTATAGAATTCAAATAAACTTTTTATGAATAAATTCCCTACTTTTTACTTTAACTGTCTCACAAAAGCTGTGAAAAGCAGATCTAGTTCAAAATCTAATTAAAAATAGCAGACAGACAATCTGACAAAATTTACAATAAAGGAATGGTTTTAGACATACAAGGTTTCCATCCACTTTGTGACCTACTATGAATTGTGCTTTAAACACAGATCAATAAATTTTTATTACTCCAAAAAAAGCAAAAAACAAAAATATTCTTATTTTGGTAGTTATGTCTTTATTTCTAAGGATTTGAAGAATATTCCCTTGGTTACCGCTGCTTAGGGTTCAAAGTAGATTTGTAATTCATAGGGGTCTGATATAAAAAAAATTAGAAAGAGAGCCTACATAATTGCCTTATAATGCCATGGCAATCCGGACCTAAATTTCAGGAATATATTAACTAAAAAGTAGAAATATCCAAAGGAAAATATTTTATTGACATAATGCAAGGAAATTTATGAAGTAGCAAGGGTAGGAAAACCAATACCGCTGAGAGCGAAGCATCAGTGTGGAGCGTAAAGTGCAGGCTCTGAACTTTCACACAAAGACGCATTTCTGCACAAGCACAGCTAGAAGAGCAGAGTTTGTCAGAATTGAGCGTGCAGTGCCACACCATTCCAACCTGCTGTCACCCCTGCCGCTGCTGCCAAGATCCATCTGTTGTTATGCAGAATGTGCACCACTACAGGGCTGGTGGGGTGACCAAAACAGGACGCTGCAGTATGCCTGCTACTGCTCATTCTAACAGATTACGGTACAATGATTTTTAATTTTAAACCTCTGACAGACCACCCATTAACGTTTTTATTCAATCTCGTCCCGTCAATGAAAACTCACAGCAATGACTCTTCATGTTTTCAAAGATTCATTTTGAGCTCATTAGTTGTCGTTATCATCATGAAAAAAGGGCCGTCAACAAAATAATTTTGTCATCGTTGACGAAAACAACACTGCTTTCATAGTTTGACTTTGTTCCAAAACATCAATGTTTTCATTACCTAATATCAGAGATAATAAAGCTTAATTTCTCCTTTTTATGACGTTTGAACAAGAAAAAAAACGGAGCACCTCATTGTAATAAAGTTACAGTAAATCTTGTTTAAATTATTCTTGTAAGCAGCACAAACTAGAGCTGAATAGTTCGAAATAAAGATACTGTCACACTGTAAACTGTTTTGCCATAAATCTAGGCACCTACAAATATATTTTTAGGACTGAAGGTGTTTTATTTGAAAGAGCATGTTTTAAAAAGAAACTGCACCATCAAAATTAAAATATTGTTTTTCCTGTAGTGTTAAATCACAACACCTGTTTTTTCAAAGGACTTTGCATAATGTAATTACAAATGTTTGGAAGATAATGGGTGTTTAGTGTGACACAATGTAGATTTCCAATGTTCTTACATCTTCTGTAATAAACGTTGTCTCATCATATTGGCTCAACTTATAATGATTTTATATTCAATTTTATTCTAAGGTTAGAAAGAAATTTGATTCATTCAAAAACATGACCTATGTGATCATTCACCACAGTATTCAACCTTTACAGAGTTTGAAGAGTGTGTTCCCTCTGCCTGCAGAGACAGACATTCAGGTGATCTCCCCAGTGTTGCCCTCTTGTGGATCCATGAGTAAAGATGAATGGAGGGATTAGGGTCTAGGATGTCTTTTGAAGCCCCATCCTTTATGGGTGTCTTGCGGAAGGGTCTCAGCTTACAGTCTTAAAGTCATCTTATGTTAACCAATCTAAAATTTATAAATTTTTCTGTCTCTGAGAGAAAAAGTCTCTACTTGCACCAAGAGATACGTGTTAGCCGGGTTGAGGAGATCCTCAAAGTATTTCTTACATCATCTGACAATGTCGTCTGTCAAGATCAGCAGCTCCTCACTTCCACTAAAAACAGTATTGGTGATGCAGGGCTTCCCCCACTGGAGCAATTGGATTGTTGGCCACAATCACTTTGAGGCCAGTCTTTCTCAATAGTGTAAACTTGTTCAAACACCCCAAGGTGGCAGCAACATTAACACTAGATGCAGAGAGCATGGACCAGTCCAATTCCATGTCCCCAGCCTCCCACGCAATCTGAAAGAAGCTTACCCAGAGGTGGGAATTTAACATCCCTTTGAACGAGGCAAGATATTTCCAGCAGACTCTGACAATTCTCTAAGTCCTGCCAGCTCTGTTCAGCTTGTTCCTCTTCCAGCACATCAATCCTCTCACCGGGCGGTGATCAGTGGACAGCTTGCCCCTCTGATTATCCAAGTGTCCAAGAAATATGGCAATAGGTTAGAAGATACAACTACATTGGACAACTAAGAAGTCCAATACGGAAAAAACACAAAGTTTCCTTCCAAGCTCACCCTGTGGATGTCACTTTCACCTCCCATATGAGTGTTGAAGTCCCGGAATAGACTAATGGAATCCTCAAGAGGGTCGATATTCAGCACCAATGCCAGGAAGACTATGAAGGCCTGGTACTATGTACTCTTTCTTGGGCCCCAAGGCAAAGACAACTGTCAGAGACCTCCACCCTAGTTGAAGGCACAGGGAAGTGACTCTCATCCACTGAACTGGGAGGAGTCAAGCAGACCCCATTCTAGCCCTCTGCCTCTCCCTGTGTCACTCCAGAATAGCATCTTTTTAGTACCTGAGTTCTGGAGTCCAGGTTATGTGTGAAGGTGGACCGATTATTTCTAGCTGGTATCACTCAACCTTCAACACAAGCTCAGTCCCCTTTCTCCCCAAACAAGGTAACTGTTCACTTCCCAGCACCACCTAAAGCATCTGTGGGTCAGATCTTCTCTGCTTTCACTTCTGACTACTGCTCCCCTTTGCGGAGGTCCTTTATTAATCCTCCTCAGAGGTGTCAAAAGTACCATATTGATTCAAATGTGAGACAAGTTTATTTTCATTAAAAACAACATGAAAATCTAACCAATTATACAGGCCAACAGTTGTCTGGGGTCACTACACAAATGCAACAGCAGAGGTTGCCCTTTTTTTGTAAAGCCGGTGACCAAATGTAAATGGAAAACAGTTGCGCTGGTCATCTTTCTATCGAAACAGAGAAGAAGGGACAAGAATGGTACAAATTGAGGGTTGCTCCTCAGAACAGAGTGAATCAAAAGTCCAACCAGTTTGCAGACATTTAAGGCAGGGATATGACTCCAATTTTAAAATAATGGTGGTCAACACAGCAGAGGCATCAAATAACGGATGTCAGACAAAGCAAGCAAAGAACTATGGTATTATGGAGTGCAATGTTAGAAGTTATCACGTTTAAGAAGACTGGAAAAATAATAGTAACAATAATAGAACTTTATTGATCTCATATTGGAGAAATTGACCTCTGCATTTAACCCATCCCTTTGGCGAGAAGAAGGCTGCCAAATTGGGGTGCCAATGGAACAGTGTGGGGTTAAGGTTACCCAGAGTGGCAGTCTGTGGGAGTGGGACTCCAACCCTGGACCTCAGGATTCCAAGCTCTATGCCCTAACCATTAGGCCACCACCAAAATATGAGCAGCTAAAGCAGAGCTTATCAAACAATTGCATGGTGAGAGTAGGTGTGTCAGCGAGCACAGCAAGGCAGAGGACATTTGTGAGTCATGCAGATTTTTGAGATGTTCCATGAGTAAAGTTCATCTTGCATTCAAGTTAAAGAGTTGTAAGATTTCCCTTAAATGTGTCATCGTTTTTTTGTTTGTTTTTTTTTTTCCTTGCACAAATCTGTCAATGCAGTATTATTTAAATTAAATTCTTAACACCTCAATATAAAATAATTTCTTAAAACAAAATAAATTTGGTTTATCAGTCTTTTTTTTTTTGTTTTGATCCTAAAAATTGGATCTGGAAAGAGGGGGTCATCTTATAACCAGGGTCTTCCCATATTTAGGTCAGTACGGTATAAATATTTATTACTCAAGTAGAAGTTTAAATCCTTCTGTTAAAAGTAGTGCAAAAAGTAGTTAAAAAAAATATTTTATATTGGTTACTGCACTACCCTATTAAAGGATTATTTTTACAATGCTGGATGATAACTTCCCTATACTTAAGTTTCTTAGTTTTACAGTATAACTAATGGTAACAGTGTAAGATTTAACTTTGCATCATCTTGCATCATCTTGGAAAAATGGCTAACAACAAGTTGGTGAAGTACTGAGTCCAACCATAGTGAAATAAATGATCTGGATACAGTAATTATTGTCATGGTTTTTATTTATTTTTTTAAATACCAACGGGCCATAATTAAAATGAGCTTAAATGAAAAAAGTATCGAGACAATTTTTAAAATGTAAGGAGTAGAAAGTACAGGTAATTACAAAAAAGAGTAAAGTAAAAAGTTCTCAAAAAAATAATTACCCCAGTAAAGATTCAAAATTCAGTATGTAACGAAGTATTTGTCCTTCGTTACTTAACACCTCAGTTCCTCCTGCAGATGATGAAATGAACTTACATCACACCTTCAGGTTTGGCCTTGCCAGTTCCCATATAAAAGAAATCTGACCACTATGTGCTCTTAAGCTAAACCCTACCCCATCCCTGTGCATCTATTTTTTTTTAATTGCGTTTTGTGCTCTATGGGGGACGCTTTAGCAGAACTGCCATTTGGTCACTGTTCAAGTGTAGCAAAAGTTTGGTCAGCATCAAGTCCAACCGGTTCCCATTGCATGTTGGTCCCCGGCAGTGCTGCCTTCTTTCACCAGCCCTTTTCATAACCCTTATGGACAGGTTATCTCGGAGCAGCCAAGGGCTGAATGGAGTCTGGTTTTAAAATCAGTGGATTTCATCCCTGCAGACGATGTGATTCCACTAGCTCTCTCCTGCAAAGATATACGCCATGCCCTGGGGAGGTGTGCAGCAGAGCCAGCGAGAAACAGCTGGAATGAAGAGTCGCTCCTTAAAGTCTGAGTCCATGGTTCTTAACAGGGAAAAAGTGTCTTGCCCTCTTTATGTTGGCAGAGAGATACTGCCTCTAGTGGAGGCAAACTACAATTAGATTCTCCCAATTAAGCATTTTAAACCTTTGGAAACACACAGAAAAATCTATAGCTCCGCCACTGACCCCATGTTGCTCAGAAATTTTGTATGAATATTGTGTTTGAAATGTGTCTTTGTGAGGTGAGGAACTTTAATGTGGGAAATCTTGGACCTAGAGCAGTGATTCCCAACCGGGGGAACATGGTCCAGAGTGGTTCAGAGTGCATTGCAAGGGGTGCATGAAAATGTGTTATTTTTTATGTAGTAACATAAAATTTGGCTGGGATCTGTTTTGTTTTGTTAGGACCCAATTGAAGAAAAATTAACAAGCTTTTATCAACCAAAGAGTGAGTTTTCCTTATTTGTTTGATTTCACCTTCAGCTGTGACACACATCAAAACCAAGAAGAGGAACAGACTGGATGTAGAGAACAGCCTGGTATCAGCTGTTTTCTGTCACTGATCTGTCAGAGTTCATCAAAGCAGCTCAGGTATCTTGATGAAAAAAAGTAAAACCAGTTAAGTCAGTGTGACTACAATTTTTGTTCAGTATTGTGTTCCAATTTCATCAAGTTTAAATGTTATTATAAGGGAGTTACTCAAAGGAGCTCCAGTTTTATAAATACAGGTTCATATGATTTTATTTTGTATTTATTTTGATTCCTTGCTAACTTTAAGGCAATATATTAATCTTTGCTTATTTAAGACGGAAAGCATAAAATGCCTAAAATTTAAATGCTCAAATTAAAAGTTTAACTAAAATAGACAATAAATTTATAATCAGTAATCTTATGTTCCACTTTAGGACAGTCATGAATACTTTTGACTGAGAGGGAGACTCATGGGAACACAAAGTACTCGACGTGGAACGCAAGTCAAAAAATATTGGAAAACACTGATGTAGAGGATGTCTAACTTTACCCCTGCTTGTTACATGGTAATGGGTGTTATAATTACTAATAAGTCTCCTCCTCACTACTTGTGAGGGGAGGTACTCTATGTAGATTGTAATGATGATGATGATGAGAAGGAGGAAAACACTGATAAGAACTGTTACTCTCCTGCTGGCATCACAGTCACACTGCTTCAAACCTTATGCACATTAACTCTCAGTAGCTGCTTGTTTATTATTTGTTAAACTCCTTTCAATTGGCGGTGTATAACATATAGAATGGAACCAAGGTTTAATGTGACATACATTATTCTTGGAGGCTATGCAGAACTACAGAGGTACAGATACCTCTATTTTTTCATCATGGTTACTGCATATCTTCTCATAATCTTTTGGAACACTTGTATTGTTTGCCTTATTATTGTTCACAAAAACCTCCATGAGCCTATGTATGTTTTCATTGCTGCTTTGTTAATCAATTCTATTTTTTACAGTACTAACATTTACCCTAAGCTCTTGATCGACTTTTTATCCAAAAGGCAGATCATATTCTATCAAGCTTGTCTTTTTCAAATCTTTGCATTTTATTCTTTAAGTGCTTCAGAATTTTTACTGCTGGCAGCAATGGCCTATGACAGATATGTCTCTATATGTAAACCTCTGCAATATCCATCCATAATGACAAGAAAAGCTGTTAGTGCTTTGCTTGTTTTAGCTTGGCTTATACCTGCCTGTCATGTTTCAGTCTCCGTTATACTCAGTTCCAATAGAAGACTATGTAAAAACACCTTAAATGGGATTTATTGTAACAATGCAGCTCATGGTCTTTATTGTGTGAGTTCAGCAGCACTTTCAGTTTATGGGTTAATTGTTCTACTTAATATTGGTATTTTTCCTATGCTTTTCATAGTCTTTACATACACAAAGATAATAATAATAGCCTATAAGAGTTGCAGAGAAGCCAGAAAAAAAGCTGTACAGACCTGTTTGCCTCACCTGCTGGTTTTATTAAACTATTCCATTCTGATTACATATGATGTTATTATAGTCCAGCTGGGGTCAGATATACCGAGGACTGTAAAACTTTTAATGAGTCTTCAAATAATTACATTTCATCCCCTCTGTAATCCACTTATATATGGACTAAAACTGAAAACAATTTCTTCACATCTCAAAACTTTGTTCAGTCAAATCAAATGGAGCTCGCTTACAGAGTTTTTCCAAAACTAGAAAAAGGAGAAACTACTTGTTGAGTTATATTAATATGACTAGAACTAAATGCAACTTGAAAGGCAAAACTAGAGATGCCTTTGCTAAAGTGTTTACATGTTTAAAACTGCTTTTTGTATTCTGTAGTATTATCAGTTTAATGCTTATCAATGTGATGTTTTATTTAGCTGTAGGTAACCTTTATGATGCCTTTATAGTGTACATAAATCTAAGTAAAACATTTCTGAATCCTCAATCAGAGATAAAACATTTTACAGTTTAACTCGTACATTAAGATTATCTGAATCATAAACCTGTTATTCTAATAATGCAATAAATGAAACTAAAAGTTATGACTATCTATGTTTTATGTTTTTCATAGGCTGCATGCAGTTGACACATTTTTCTACTACATTTTGCATGTTACATAAACAAGCTTTGTTTTAATCTGTTGTAAGGCTGACACGAGAAAGGCTAAATAAAATGTACGTCATACCAATGGCTGCACCAACTTTATTCAGGTTCACAAATGAAAATGTATGAATCTTATGTATGAATTTTATAATCAACTGGTTTTCCTCAGATTGAAAACTTCAAATCAATTTGACTGTATGATCTGGTTGAATTGTACTTGTATTGCACTTTATGAATGTTTTATATGTAAGAATTTGTTATCTAATAACAATTTCTTTTAACAGCAGATAATGTCCTTTACATGTACAACATGTATATGTATAGGCTAGAGACTTTTATTACAAAAATGGCATCCTCATCAAGCCACTTATTATACAGGCGTTCATAAACTCCTCAACAAAATCCATTTTGCAAAATAAATCACATGAAATGTATATTCACTTTTTTAAAAGTATTAAGCACAGTAATAATTAAACAAAGATTGGTCAGATTGATTAATGGTGCACTACTTCATAAGACAATACATCCCAAGACACCTTTGAGAGTTATTTGGGGAGTGTTGGATAAAATACAGAGAGTGCATTTCCCCATTGTGGGACATTGAAGGGATTTTCATTTTTCTTTAATGAAATTCCAAAGACAGATTGTTTGCAAAGTTTTCTTTATTGAAACCCATCAGATTGAACAGGTCACTTATGGACTGAGCATGTAGCTTCCGTTGATAGTTTCTTGCATTAGGTTCTTGACTCTTTTTTTAGGTAAGGGATGAAAGGGAGAACATACACTTAGTCAATGTAAATGCTGAGCCCGTAGCAAAGCCTAGGACAGAAACAGGATTAGGCACTTAAACAGGCGCAACTCTATCAGCTGTAAAAGAAGTTGCTGATGGCAGCAGCCAAGATGATGCCTTCCTCCTGGATGGTTTAATAGTTAAAGACAACAAAGCCAGATAAAGCTCGTATACTGATAAAAAGCAGAAAAAAAACATGGTTGAAGTTTAACGAAATTGCTCAGCTGAAGACGCCATTTCCTCTGCTTTCACTTGAGCCTAGCACACCTGGAGGAGAAGAATATCCATGTGTAGATGCTGTTCCTGGACTTCAGTTCAGCTTTCAACATCATCATCCCACAGCATCTGATAGGCAAACTGGAACAGCTGGGCTTCAGTACATCCCTCTGCAAATGGCTGCTAGACTTCCTCACAGACAGACCTCAATCAGTTCAGGTCGGACAGAAAACCTCTGATGTCATCACTCCAAGCACAGGCTCCCCTCAGGGCTGCATCGATGATGCACGACTGCCTCCCCAGGTTCACCACCAATCACATCGTGAAGTTTGCAGATGACACCACGTGGTGGGCCTTATCAGAGACCACAATGGCCAGCAGCACCAAATTCTTGGGGGTGCACATCCAAGAGAACCTCACCTGGACTGTAAACAACACCTCACTGGTCAAAAGGGCACAAAAGCGCATGTACTTCCTGAGGAAGATGAGGAGAGCCCACCCACCTTCACCACCTTCTACAGAAGCACCATAGAGAGCGTTCTGACCAGCTGTCTTACTATGTGGTGTGGAGGCTGCAGGGCCCCAGACTGGAAGAAGGTGAGAAGAATAGTGAGAACTGCAGAGAAGATTATCTGGGCTCCTCTTCCCTGCATTAAAGACATTTCATCCCAGCACTGTGTGTCCCAAGCCCGTAACATTATAACTGACTCCTAACAACCCCCACCATGGACTGTTCTCCCTGCTGCCTTCTGGGAAGAGTCTTTAAATCATCCAATGCAGGTCTTGCAGATTCCAGAACAGCTTCTTCCCCACCGCCATTAGACTCCCGAATGTTGTATAAAATCAGGTTTAAGAAAAAAAAAGCACTGAATGTTGGAATCTGTAAATCAAATACCAGTCTAATATTTAAATTTTTATCGCTGCTGTTTAGATTTTATCACTGCTTTACTTTAAAAATGAAAATGTCTTGAGAGTTGTACTGAGCAAAATTTATTTTTGTATACACTCTGTGTGTAAAAAATGACAATGAAGTCTGTCTAAGTCTAAGCCTTATTTGATATACATTCTTCTGGTAAACTTACACAATAGGGCTAAGCTTTACTGTCCAAAGACAAGTGCACTACTCACCCAGTCGCTGGTTCCCAGCCATACGGTTGTCTGCTTGTAAAAGAGGATTATGTGAGCATAAATGAGGCAACTCCTTCAAGCTATATAAATTTTCACATACCCAGAAGTTCTGGGCGAGGAGGAGGAGTAGCAACNAAGTATTAAGCACAGTAATAATTAAACAAAGATTGGTCAGATTGATTAATGGTGCACTATTTCATAAGACAATACATCCCAAGACACCTTTGAGAGTTATTTGGGGAGTGTTGGATAAAATACAAAGAGTGCATTTCCCCATTGTGGGACATTAAAGGGATTTACATTTTTCTTTAATCAAATTCCAAAGACAGATTGTTTGCAAACTTTTCTTCATTGAAACCCATCAGATTGAAGAGGTCACTGATGGACTGAGCATGTAAATTGAGTTGATAGTTTCTTGCATTAGGTTCTTGACTTTGCAGAACTCCCTTATACAGAGGGATGTTTAGCAACAGTGGAGAGAAAAAATGCCCCTTTGACAAGAAGAAGCTTTCAGCAGAACCAGGCTTAGTGTAAGCGGCCTTACTCTGATGCCAACTAGGGGAGCAGACAAACAAAAGGATTTTGGAAGTACCAAGCCATATGCACTCTGCCATACGTACCAGAAGGTAACGCTAAATAGCTCCAGGAGGCCAAATCTAGGAAAGACACAGTTAAGCAGATGGACTTTGAATGCTTTTCAGGTAAGGGATGAAAGGGAGAACATACAGTTAGTCAATGTAAATGCTGAGCCCGTAGCAGGGGTGGACTGGGACAAAATAATCAGCCCTGGCATTTTGGACTAGACTGGCCCACCCAATTTTTGTGGTGTACTGAATGTGTATACCAACTGTGCAATACCAAATGTGCAATACCAACTGTGCAATACAAATGTGCAATACCTTGAGGCCAGGTTAATGGAAATTAGTGAGAGTGGACACTTAAAACACTTCCAAAATCTCAATTTGTTAACACTGTAAACACTACCACAGCAACAATTCTTAGATGAGAGAGAGAGAGAGAAAGAGAGAGAGAGAGAGAGAGAGAGAGGTCACAGTCAATCACACATATTATCACGTTATAAGGAGGTATTGTAAGTTGCTCGTCAGATCTATTCAGTCTTCCAGATACTGTAGGGTAACATTGGACTAATGTGCACTCATTGTGTAAAAACTGATGCTACAAAAAAATCATCATTAGCCACTAGTGCTAGCATGAAGTTTATGGGTAGCAGCACCTGTGTTTACTAAACTAACTTTACCATGGAACAATAACCAACATATTTTTATTGGGGTTATTTTATCATATTCATCAAGGGGTTGGTTGGTTTATCCTATCATTACCAGAGATCCCAAGTTCCAAAAACTCATTTCAGGGAGATGCTTGTCCCCCGCCCCCCGGGGACAACAGACCCACACCGTGCCCCATACACTTAAGGCCAGCACCTTTTCAACAACTGTTTATTAACTAACAGTAATTTCTTAAACACTAAACAGAACAGTATTGGTCTTTTATTTTCAATGCTTTCAATCTTGTAGCCTTGAACATCGGTTGTGCTTTCTGTTTTTCATGGAACTTCAGCATTCAGTGCACCTCGCCACTGCGTCATCATTCTTCATTATTACTGATAGTTCATTTGGATCTATTTCATTGTTTCATTACAAATTATGTTTTACTAATTATTCAAAAACAATAAGGTGATAGTTTCAGTGGTATTGAGATAGGATCCCAGTTTTCATCTGTCAAATGTTTTTTTCCCACAACAAATAAAAAAAATGCTCTAATTTTTACAGATGAACTTAACAGTTCTTAAATTCAAATTTAGAGAAAACTGTAGTTTTAACTTAAATTAAGTCAGAAAATATGTAAAATTCTTAAATTTTAAATGCATATTGACCTCATGAGAAATAGAATTTTTACTGAACCTCATTGAAAAGAAATGTCACTTAATATATTTGAATGTCTTGCCCTGTTTTTTATTTCATGCTTTTCTGGGCCCCCATGAAAACACTCTGGCCCCCTGGTACATTTGGTCCAGATCCGCCACTGTTCCTCACCTTCACCAGATGTGGATATACTTTAGTATATTCTGCTGTAAAATTAGTCCTATATTTCCGTTTTTTACTGGAGGATTCACCCTCTGCCGTTTCCCAGGATGCACAGCTTTGAGTGGTCAAATAGGTGACTGCCAGAGAGTAACCAGAGAAACATATCGGACTGATCCAATCAGCTCTCTGATCAACCAGTCACCTGGACTGGTTTATCAGCTTTGGACAGATACGCTGCACAGGTTTCACCAGTAACCTCCTCCCCACACCCCGCACTCTCTTGCTGTGTCTGCGCAATTGAAGTAGTTCTAATCCACACAGGATGCATGAATTATTGTATTGCCTGCTCGCTCTCACTCGCATTAAAAAAACTCTACCTCACGAGTCTAAAAAAAAAAAGTCATAGTCTAAAATCCGGGATAATTTATCGGACTCGCGGGCATCAGTGAACAGCTATCTATATCAGGGAGACTCCCGGAACTTCAGGGAGACTTGGGATGTGTGCATTACATAGTTTGGAGCTCTGAAAACTGTCCAGCTTACCGCAGGTTTTACTACTGCAGCTGCCGCACTGACACGTTTACTGCTCGGTTCGCATCGCCTCCACTACAACCACCAC